ATGGTACAAACACAATTCCAAAGCAATATTTAGACACTTAGAAGTGACAATAGTCGTGAGTATTACAACCTTGCTCTAAATTCCTATCTACAAAAGGTTGGAATTGTTCACCAAAGCTCGTGTGTGGACACTCTCCAACAAAATGGAGTAGCAGAAAGGAAGAATAGACACCTTTTGAAAGTGACTAGACCAATCATGTTAGCCACAAATGTCCCACAACACTTTTGGGGAGAAGTTGTCCTTTCAGCAACTCACCTTATAAATCGAACGCCCTCCCGTATCCTTAACTTTAAGACCCCACTCTCCAAACTTCAAAACCTATTTTCAATCAGCAAAATCTTTTCCTTTATTCCATTAAAAATATTTGGATGCTCAACTTTTGTCCATAACCTCAACCCTCACCGAAGCAAATTAGATCTAAAATTCATCAAATGCATTTTTCTTGGTTACTCTCCTCACCAAAAGGGATATAGGTGTTATTCTCCCCATACCAAATTTTTTTACCACACTATGGATGTAACCTTCTTTGAAAATCAACCCTATTACACCAAAACTGGTATTCAGGGGAGCAATCATACATACATCCTATCGAAAATTCAGAATACCAACTTTTGTCTCTTGAACTAGCCGAACCTATGCCTAAACCAGCTGGAAAATTACCAGATCAAACCTCTAACATTCAGCCGAGTGAAAGGACAACAGAAGCTGTGACGGAAACATGACCAATTATATTCTCGTTCGCATCTCAACAGGATTGTGATCCAAAAATAGGTAATTGGAAGGGTTTTTGTTATATAAGAAGGAGGAAGGAGGTAGCGTCAAGCATAGTTCCAATGCAAAGCCATCAGTCAAACCAGACTCTAGAAAATAAAGTTCCCACAGGTAATATTCTTCCTAACTCTGAACATGTTTATACAACAGATATTGATATTTCTATTGCTATGAGAAAAGGGGTTAGAACTTACACGAAACACCCTATTGAAAAATATATCTCCTATGGAAAACTATCACAAAGTTACAGGTCCTTTGTAGTAGCTGTTGACAACATCGAAATTCCAAATAATATTCAAGAAGCATTGCAGAAACCTGAATGGGAAGCAGCTGTAACAGATGAAGTTCAAGCACTTGTACGAAATGGCACATGGGAGATCACTGCTATACCAGAAGGGAAGAAAGCAGTAGGATGCAAGTGGATATTTTCAATTAAGCACAATGCTGATGGTAGTATAAACAGGTACAAAGTCCGGTTGGTTGCTAAGGGGTTCACACAATCATATGGGGTGGATTATGAGAAGACTTTCGCCCCTGTTGCGAAGCTCAATTCTGTCCGGGTTCTACTATCTCTGGCAGCAAATCTAGATTGGCCCCTACACCAACTAAATATAAAGAATGCATTTCTAAATGGAGAATTAGAAGAAGAGGTATATATGTAAATTCCTCCGGAACTTGAATCACCTGGAACCTCCAACATGGTGTGTCGACTTCGAAAATCTCTATATCGCCTCAAACAATCACCAAGGGCATGGTTTGACAGACTAACAAAAGTTGTCAAGCAAGATGGTTTTGTTCAATGTCAAACGGACCATACTATGTTTCTCAAGCATTCTTTGGATGGAAAGATAACTTTGTTTATTGTCTATGTTGATGATATCGTAATTACGAGAGATGATGATGAACAAGTCAACCAGTTAAAGAAACTTTTAGCAAAAGAATTTGAAGTCAAAGACTTAGGACAACTCAAGTATTTTCTAGGGATGGAAATTGCACGAACAAAGAATGGGATTTCAGTTTCTCAAAGGAAGTACACTCTGGATTTACTTCAAGAAACAGGTATGCTTGGATGCAAAGCTGCCATACTCCCATAGAACAAGTAAAAAGGAGTGAAGATGAGAATGTACCAGCTAATAAAGATAGATATCAAAGTCTAGTCGGAAAACTAATCTATCTAACTCACACCAACATGGCTAGTCGTTATATGTCAAATCCAACTGAAACTGACATGAGAATTGTGAACATAATTCTCCAGTACCTGAAAGGTACTCCAGGCCGAGGACTTTATTTTCAAAAGAACTCAAACAGAGGTATTGAAGTCTACACCGATTCTGATTGGGCGAGATGTTTATCTGACAGGAAATCGACTACAGGCTACTGCACATTTGTATGGGGTAATATGGTAACTTAGAGAAGCAAGAAACAGTCTGTTGTGGCTAGGAGTAGCGCAGAAGCAGAATTCAGAGCTATGTCACAAGGTATTTGTGAAGGAATTTGGCTTAAGCGAATGTTAGACGAGACCAAAATTCCTACCAATCACCCATGAAGATATTATGTGATAACACGGCTGCTATTAGCATTGCGAAGAATCTGGTACATCATGATAGAACAAAGCATGTGGAGATAGACCGACATTTCATCAAAGGGAAATTGATCATGAAATTATAAGTGTTAACCATATTCCATCATGCTAGGAAACTGCAAAGATTCTAACAAAAGCCCTTCCAAGGAACATATACGAGAATATCAGATCCAATCTAGGTATGATAGACATCTACCACCCAGATTCAGGGGAAGTGTGGGATAATCATAACAGAATCAAATGATTCTGTTTGTACAACTCATTAAAGATTAGGATTAATGTAATTAACTAGCTATTATTTCATGTTTCTTTCTATAACTAGAATTAGCATTCATGGGAAATTAATTCCTGTGATTCTTAGGTCAGATTTTTCTTCCAAATCCTGTCCTATGTATTCTATAAATACAGTATATGTAATTCTCATCAAATACAAGAAAATATAAAATATATTTCTGCAATTTCTAAATAAGCGAAAAACTTTATTGAAGATAAAGAGACCAGAGAGAACAGGAACTCCACTAAACTAATGAAGAATGTTGAAAGGAAATAACATGTCAGTTTACTTATATTTTAATAATAAATACATTTTTTCTAGCGTCAATAATTTTTATTGTTGTTTTCATCTTTTTTTAATCAAATTGCTTGTGTTGACTTATAGTTGATTTGTGAGATATTACTTGACCAGGATAACATAATGTTTGTTTGTATAAAGTTAGCTTTACTTTGTGAGAATTGTAAAAAATACATAATCAAAAGCTGTTTTTCTGGAAGTCTTTGTTGCTGGATGTTTGGTTCTGGATTCTTGGTTGTATGAACTTTTTTGGGTAAAGATGAAAGTTGGTTTCCTGGTTGTAGAACATTCAAAACTTTCAAAACTTTCAAAACTTCTTTTGAATTACAACTTTCTGTTGGGTCATTAATTCGGGGGGTCAACAACGTGGGACTTCCCCGGACTTTGTTTCTCTAAGTTTCCAACTCACACTTATTATTCTCAAACACTTTCTACTTTTATTTTTCCTCCCTATTTTTGGAAATTTTGTTTGATTTATTATTGCATAATATATTGATATCTAATTTATTGCTGTTTATGCTCACAGATAGAAGGAGCTTTTATTCAAGGTTTGGGTTGGGTTGCTTTAGAAGAACTTAAATGGGGAGATGCAGCTCATAAATGGATCCCCTCTGGGTGGCTTAACACTTGTGGACCTGGAGCTTATAAAATTCCTTCTATAAATGACGTTCCCTTGAAATTTAATGTCTCACTTCTGAAGGTATATTCCTGAATCCTAAACATGTTTCAGTTCTTTCTTGAGGTAACCATATGGTGCATAAGTGTGGATGATACAAATTGAGTCATTCCGTTGTGCTATGTTACCCGATGGCACAATGGAGTCATAGGTTAATGGGAATCACGTTTTGGTTATTTGGCTATTCTGGTTGCCAAAATTGAAGATACCTATATTCACTTGAAGATACCTATATTCCTGAATCCTAAACATGTTTCAGTTCTTTCTTGAGGTAACCATATGGTGCATAAGTGTGGATGATACAAATTGAGTCATTCCGTTGTGCTATGTTACCCGATGGCACAATGGAGTCATAGGTTAATGGGAACCACGTTTTGGTTATTTGGCTATTCTGCCAAAATTGAAGATACCTATATTCACTTGTTTTGTTGTGTGATCTAACTTGCAGGGTCATCCAAATGTAAAGGCAATCCATTCGTCTAAAGCAGTTGGCGAGCCTCCGTTTTTCCTAGCATCAGCTGTATTCTTTGCCTTAAAGGATGCCATCCTAGCTGCAAGAATTGAAATGGGGCGCGCTGAGTGGTTTCCTCTCGATAGTCCAGCAACTCCTGAGAGAATTCGGATGGCTTGTTTAGACGAATTTACATCATCTTTTGTTAATTCAGATTTCTGTCCCAAACTTAGTGTCTGATACTCTATTTATTCATTTGTTAAGTTTCTTGCCATATCAACAAATGAAACTTACAAAGAGAGCATCACATGTACGTACATTGATAGAAAATAAGTTATATAGGGGCATGAGATCACCAATAATGGACTCAAGTCTAGAAAATGTCCAAACTCTCGCACCTTGGTAAGAGTAGCATCTGCTGCACTGCAGCAAGTAAATGACAGCATCCACTTGCATCGGTATGTTATCTGTTTGCTTTATAAATTTAAATTGCATTTTCTTTTTTATACTGTCGCCATGTGTGAATTAGATTACTTGCTGATTAGATTACCATTATATATATTTCAATTTAAACTTTAAGGCACACACACAAATAGTGTTTTCTATTCATGAAAGGAATCACTTGAAATGTTTGGAATCACTTGAAATGTTTGGATTAGATTGATTTTTTATGGGGAAAATTTTACTAAATAATAGATTTCTTTCTTTGGAAGGAGGATGGTATTAGTTATATCATGCAAATATTTAAGGATAAACAGCAATTACAAATGATTTAAAATATAATATGAAGAATGTTCAGGACAAAACAGACTTTTGAATTAACAATGAGACATAATGACACAACAGGTCTGCATTCATAACAATGCTATTTGATGTAGACCCTGATCTAAATGAAATAACAACAATGTGGAATAATTTTATTGAAACAAATTAAGTTGGTTCAGCTGCATTAATAGACTCTTGGAGGTGGTGGTGGAGAGTTGTAGAGGTAGGGAAGATGATAAGCTGGATGCTTGTGGACATTAGGAGTGGGTGATTTACGGATATATGGTGGAACATGAGAAGAAGAAGGTGGAGGTGGAGACTTGTACACATATGGAGGAGGTGGTGAAGGAGATGGTGGGGGAGGAGACTTGTAAATATATGGAGGTGGTGGTGACGGGGATGGTGGTGGTGGAGATTTGTAGATATATGGTGGAGGAGGTGAAGGAGATGGTGGTGGAGGAGACTTGTAAACATATGGAAGGGGAGGGGAAGGAGATGGGGGTGGTGGTGAGGGAGAAGGTGGTGGTGGAGACTTGTACACATATGGAAGGAGTGGTGAGGGGGAAGGCGGTGGTGGAGACTTGTACACATACGGAGGTGGTGGTGACGGAGAAGGTGGTGGTGGGGACTTGTAGATATATGGTGGTGGAGGTGAAGGGGACAGAGGAGGTGGAGACTTATAGACATACGGAGGCGGTGGTGAAGGAAAGGGGGGTGGAGGAGATTTGTAGACATATGGTGAGGGAGGTGAGGGAGAAGGCGGTGGTGGTGACTTGTAAATATATGGTGGAGGAGGTGAGAGGGAAGGCGGTGGTGGAGACTTGTACACATATGGAGGTGGTGGTGATGGAGAAGGTGGTGGAGGGGATTTGTAGAGATATGGTGGAGGAGGTGAATGGGACGGAGGAGGTGGAGACTTATAGATATACGGAGGCGGTGAAGGAGAGGGAGGTGGAGGAGATTTGTAGACATATGGTGGGGGAGGTGAGGGAGAAGGTGGTGGCGGTGACTTATAAACATAAGGAGGGGGTGGTGATGGGGATGGTGGGGGTGGAGATTTGTAGACATATTGTGAAGGAGGTGAGGGAGAAGGTGGTGGTGGTGACTTATAAACATAAGATGGGGGTGGAGATTTGTAAGTATATGATGGAGTTAATTTGTGAAAATTGTGTGAGTGTTTTGCATGCCGTGGGACTTTCTGTGAGGATGGATATTCTGCATGCTGTGGGACTTTTTGTGAGGATGGATATTCTATATTCTTTAGATGTGGTGAAGAGTAGTACTTTGGCTGGGATGCATAATAAGGTTTATCAGCAGCAACATTAATAAGAACACTTATAGCTATTAGGCAAAATGCCAATGCATAGGTAAGTGAAGTTCCCATCTTCTCTTTGAAATGTGTTTGTTTTGAAATTAAAGTATGCACAATCCCCTTTATATAGTGTTAGCTTCTTTCAATTGTGTCCTAGAACATCTCTTTGTTAATGCATCTTAAATTACATGTATGCTGCTCCACTACTATTTTCTTTAAAACACATTTATATTTTAAGTTGAAGACTTGAAAGTATTGGCTGTCCATTAAGGGAGTTCATATTTCTCAGTCTCACAAATATAGAACAGAAAATTAACAAAGTCAAGGAAGATGGTAGGTAGCATGGCTGTATATAAGCATTAGGCGTCATAATAAATGAACATGATTAGTTTTTTTTTTAAAAATATATGTTAATATCGCCCACCGTGGGGCTCGAACCCACGACCACAAGGTTAAGAGCCTTGCGCTCTACCAACTGAGCTAGACGGGCAATTGTGATGGTTTTTTGCTTAAGGTATTTCAAAGATAGAAAGCAATGTGTAAGTAATTTTCTTATAATATTAATTATAATTTTTTTTATAAAATCTCATTAAATGTAAATGAAATTTATAACAAGCCTATGAGAATTTAAATTCTCTGTTGAAAAAAAGATAAATCTTTGAGAAATTGTTTTTAAGATAACTACAAGATGAAGAGCATTTGAAATTTAGGTGTTTTTTTGATGAAGAGTGAAAAAGTTGAGAAAATATTGCAAAGGGTTGAGGTTATCCAACTTCTGTGTTAATCGATTGGTTAATTTGTGTTGATGAATGAATTTTAGGCCATTTGAATTTTCATATGATTTTAATATAGTCGATATAGGACAAGGAAATTACAGGGTGCAATTTATGTGCGCGAAGGATGTGAGAATATTTTTGGCGAGGGATCTTGGATGATCTTATACCATTATTTAAAGGTTTGTGAATAATCTCCAAATTTTGATCTTACATCAGAAAATATAGAAAATATAGTCTGCACAATCGATTTGGCTGTAAACTTAGTCTATGCATGGAATATTACCATGAAATCATTCTACTTATTTTAGGAGAAGCAGTGGGTAATCATGTGAATGTCGACATTAGAACAATGGAAGCATTTTGTGGCAAATTTGCAAGAGTATGAGTTGAGATGATTTGAGTTTCTATATTGTTGGTCAACTATAGTTTTGGGACAATGGTTCCACATCTAATATGTGAGCTTCCACCTATTGTTCAAGAGTTGTAGAAAATATCATGTAAAATCACGTCACAATATATTTTGTGACGTGAATAATTATTTTGCAGAAGGGCGTGTGACAATTTTGTTGCGACGTGATTTTCATGTCACAAAGTTGTAACGTGAAAATCACGTCGCAACATTTTTGCACAAAAAACATCACATTTCAACGAGAGCGAAGCAACGTATTTTTTTTTTTATAAAAATATATATGTTGCGACGTTATTTACATGCCATGACCTTATAATATATATAACATATAAATATAAACTTTATGTTTATATATATAACATAAATACTTTCTATTTGTATATAACATAAATATACTTTTACTTTTTTTTTTTAAATTAACAAAAAAAAATATAACTATAAACTTTATGTTTATATATATAACATAAATACTTTCTATTTGTATATAACATAAATGTACTTTTACTTTTTTTTAAATAAAATTAACAATAAAAAAACAATATAACAACAAACAACACATCCAATACAAATCTTTAAAAAAAAATCAAATGACAAAATTATTTCTTAAAAATAGTTTGATAATCTCTTTGAATTTGTATCTTGAAGATTGAAGTTTGATAATACTTCTTGAATGGATGATTGACTGAAATTGAAGAAGAAATTTGTTTGGATGAATGGAAGAATAGGGAAAAAGAGTTGGAATGGTTGAGAGGAAGAATAAAGTTGCAGAAGAGAAGAAAAAACAATAGGGTTAATGTAAAAATGAACAAAGCTAAAAAAAAATATAAAAGCATTAGCGACGTGAAAAACATATCGCAACCTTGTCACATGTTAATTACGTCGTAATCAGTCAACAGTTATAAATTAATGGATCAATTATATAAAATTAGTAACGTGAATATCATGTCGCAACTTTGTCACATCAAAACTAACAAAATTGAGAATTTTTTATTTTCCTCCAATTTGAACGTTACAATTTTCTTTCTTTTTTTATTAAATTGTTTACTGATAACTTGATTAACATATTGTAACATTATTTTTTAAAACTAAACTCTGACTCTCTATGTGACGTTGCAGGTTACTTTTTTTAATATTATAAATAATTAGTGACGTGATAATCATGTTACAATTTTTTTTTGTCATGTGTTTATCATGTCATAAAATCACTTCGCTGAAGAGTATTTATCTTATAGTGATAGTCATGTCGCAAGAAATTTCACTGTGATTATACCGAAAAATACAATTATGGTGCCAGAAGTGCAACAAATTTAACACCATGATACCACTAAGTTAAATATAATCTACGGTGACAACTATCAATAGAAAAATCAAGGAGATATTAAAGGGGAAAATACCTATGGTGATAGAAAAATCAAGGAGATATTAAAGGGGAAAATACTGTAAGATAATTTAGGCCGTCCTTTTCATTCATGTGATAGTCATTTATATACACAATACAAATATGTGGTTATGATTCTAATAATCATTGGTAATCAATACTAATAATAATCTTTCTATATTTACATATCTAATACACCTCCGTAGTCGAAACTGGAGGTGAACGAATGTTGAGACTATCACGAAAGTCATCAAAGAGTTGCAACGGAAGTCCCTTTGTGAAGATGTCAGCAATCTAAAAACGCGAGGGAATGTGAAGAACGCGTACTTGACCGCAAGCAACTTTCTCACGCACGAAATGTATATCCATTTCAATATGTTTGGTGCGTTGATGTTGAACAGGATTGTCGGAAAGATAAACCGCGCTGATGTTGTCACAATATACCAGAGTAGCTTTTGTGACAGGACAATATAGTTCCAAGAGTAAGTTGCGTAACCAACATGATTCAGACACAACATTAGCTACGCCTCTATATTCGGCTTCGGCACTTGAACGAGACAAGGTATGTTGGCGTTTTGCGGACCATGAGATCAAGTTGTCACCGAGATAAACACAGTAGCCGGAGGTAGATCTTCTTGTGTCAGGACAACCGGCCCAATCTGCGTCTGTGTAAGAAATGAGCTTGTCGACAGATGAAGGGTACAGATGAAGGCTGAGATCTACGGTACCATTAATGTAACGAATAATGCGTTTCAAGGCAGACATGTGTTGAGTTTTTGGATCATGCATAAATAAACATACCTGCTGAACTGCATATGAGATGTCTGGTCGAGTGAATGTTAAGTATTGCAATGCTCCGGCAAGGCTACGATATTCGGTTGGATCATGGTAAGGGTTACCGGATGAACCACTGAGTTTCGCCTTTGTGTCTACTGGTGTGGGGGATGGTTTGCAGGAGGACATACCAGCTCGTTCGATAATTTCTTCTGCATATTTCTTTTGAGAAAGAAAAAGGCCTTCGGGATGTTTGGTGACAGAAATACCCAGAAAATAACTTAAAGGCCCCAGATCCTTCATGGAGAATTCGGAACTCAATTGTGCCATGATAGATTCTCTAAGAGTGTCAGATGATGCAGTAAGAATAATGTCATCCACATACAAAAGAATATAAGCTATATCATTGCCATGATGATATATAAAAAGAGAGTGGTCAGAAATACTGTGAGAGAAGCCCATTGTAGCTACATAATCAGTAAAGCGCTGGTACCAGGCGCGAGGTGCTTGTTTGAGACCATATAGAGATTTCTTCAATAAACAGACATGATCAGGAAATTGAGAATGACGAAATCCAGGAGGTTGATGCATGTATACGGTTTCATGAAGGTTCCCATGCAAGAAAGCATTTTTAACATCTAATTGATGAAGACACCATGATTTAGATAAAGCAACACTTAGAACCGTTCGAATGGTAGCCGGTTTGACCACCGGGCTGAATGTGTCACCACAATCAATACCTGTTTGTTGATTTGCACCATTACCTACAAGGCGAGCTTTGTATCTCTCAAAAGATCCGTCAGATTTCTTTTTATGCCTGAAAATCCACAAACTTCGAATAACATTAGCATTAGACGGACGAGGAACTAAGTCCCACGTCTTATTTTCAATAAGAGCATCATATTCGTCTTTCATGGCCATTTTCCAATTTTGATCATTTAATGCATCAATGGGATTTGTAGGTAGAGGGGATATGGAGGTTGAGGTTGATGTATGGAAATTGAAGAGTTTGCGAGGTTTGACGATACCGTGTTGGGCTCTGGTTGTCATTTGAGGGGAGAGGGGCTGATTTTGTTGTGAAGGTGGAGGAGTCGGAAGTGATGTAGTGGATGGGGATGAGACGATATTTGGTAATGATGGGTTTAGAGGTGATGTTGTGGATGGGGCTGATGTTATGGTTGGTGAGGTGGGATTGTGGGAGGGTGACGAAGGCGAATTCAAAGAAGATGGTGATGGTTGGTAAATGTTTGTTTGAACTGGTGTAGTTAGGGGTGAAGTGCGATTTTGATGGTTAGAGGAGGGAGCACTATAGGAATAGGATGGAAGGAAGGGTGTGTCGTCATCCAAAAAATTATAACCAACCGTTGTAGGAACATTTGGATTAGAAAACGGAAGCTTAGTTTCATCAAAAATGACATGCCGGGAAATAAATATTTTACGGCTAGATAAATCATAGCATTTATATCCTCTATGATTTGAGGGATATCCTAAGAAGACACAAGGTGTAGACCGAGCTTGTAACTTATTTCTATATGATGAAGGGATGAGAGGATAACAAAGACATCCAAAGACACGAAGGTGAGTATAGGCCGGATCTTTTTGGTAGAGTATTTTAGTGGGTGATTGAAGGGAAAGCTTTTTATTTGGAAGGATATTATGTAGGCAAGTGGCCATGTGTAGTGCATGATGCCACATTGATGGAGGTAAAGAGGCATGGGCGAGAAGGGTACGGATG